AGCAGCGAGGCAACTCGTCCTTCATCGCCAGGGCATTTTCCGCCTGCCATGGATACATCCTATTCCGAACAAGCTCGTCTTCTTTCGCAATTTGCTGAGGCAGCAAAACAGGGCAAAAAGAAGTTTGTGTTTGTGAATGCCTCTATAAAGCCACACTTGAAGCTGGCTAGCACCACAGGGACGAATAGAAATCTCGATATTATTCTTTTCAGTGAAATTGAGGAGCAATACGCAGCCCTCGCTCAAATGCTCACAACGCTAAACGTGCCCCAGCAGGCCAACAACGTTAACTGCAACTATTATGACTACTATAAAAACCTTCTCTCGTAAGTTTTTCCTCCATAAAGTCCTATTTTTCTCTGAATCCCCCATGACACCTTATGGTCCAGATGCACGCTCAGTGATCCTGGCTTTCTGACCAGCCTCCTCCAATCTCTGGATCTCTACGGGATGGGAGTTCGCCAAGGAATGCAGCATCCACCTCAGCACCACCATCATCTCGTTGGACAAGGCGTCTCCCCAAATCCAATCCCTCATGCAAATCTCCACCAATACCTAACTGCTGCAGCCATGCTCAACTCTGCCCCATTTCCTAACGATGGGTCGGGCGATGGTCCAAAAAACAAAATTCGCAACTCTGCATAGTTACTGCATTGTTTTTCTATTTTCTCCTTCGTTAGTGGCTCGATATTCGCCTGTTGATAAACCGTCTAACCATCTGACGAAAACATTGACTCAAATTATCGTTGTTTTAACGTTTCGTTTTTTTCATGCGTTAGTTTTCTCGTTACCAACACAGTTGCGAATTTCTGCCATTTAACATTTCTGTTATCGTCATTGTAATAAATATGTGTTTTTTTTTTGCTGTTAGGTACTAGAGGCGTTAAGTATTACTATATCTGATTGGCCCTCTATTGAATATAAACCAACTCTTAAACCGCTAGATACATCTTCTCACAATTAGGCCGCCTAATCTTCAGTATAGCAAGCTAGACGGACATTCAAGAGTTAAAAGGATGAAAGAATTTTAAGGCTCTAGAATTACCCTTACGGGTGGCGAGAGCTTTAATCTAAGGCCAGAGCGAATATAAACCATCTATCAAACAAGACGGCACAAAAATTACGAATACAGGAAATTTTTTTTCCAATCTGGCTCGTCAATGTAGGATGTCCCTTCAACCGTACACCAAACAACACAAATTCGGCTGTTGTCAATACGGTTGTTTGCTTTATACTTTCTTTTTTAAGAATGTAGAAAAGTTACAAATTCCGACATTTGTCGCAAACCTGAAAGCTTCCCTTCCTCAGCATATGTGAATATAATTTCCAATATGACTCAAATGATTGTATGTAACAATGAGTAACGGTGAACCTGTTGAACGAATGTATGATTTATGCAATGTGAAAAGAGATTCTGGATGTTGAGATCTGTAAGAAAAACAATTTGCTAAAATCAATATACAGGCAAGATCGAAATTTTTCAAAAATAAAAGACCATATGACAAGGATGCCTTTTCTGGTCAGACTTTTTTACGAAATTGATTTGATGCCAATACAACTCAAAGATTAGTATTTGAGAAAGTATAAGACGTGATGAAAGGCGAAGTGACATTAACACAGCCCTGAAATTTGCGCAAGTGAATGCGACAAAAGAAAAAGAAGCGCGTGAACCATAAGAACGTGCCCTTTTCCTAACATTCCATAACTTTTCCCATTTGAATGCTGAATGTCTACAGCAAATCGCCTAATGTTTGGCATTGA